AGGGATGTTTAGAAAGGTAGACAATTTATATGAAACCATTAAAAATAAAACTCACTTGAGTGGATAAACATGCCCTTCTGCCAAGCTGAGCAGAATAACAAATTTAAGTTGGCTTTTTGCCCACAGGGACTTCTGTGCTGGGAAAACCTCTTGTTCCTTGTCCTTAAATGTTTGTGAAACATTGGTTTTTATGTACTTTTCCCCCCATTTTGCTCTGAAAGGAGAGCACGGTTACATGTATTTGTGGGGAGAACGTTGTCTATTTGAGAACACAAATATCAGGCTGGTACCATCACCATACACCTTCAGCTGGTAATAACAGAGATACAAGTTGCATAACATTTTGCAGTCAGATGTACTTAAACTACCTAAAAATGGATATCTTAGAATGATGTCCAGTCTGAGAGCAGTTTTGTGGCTGCATGTCTTAAGCACAACAGAAAGATTAGCATAAATATTTTAGTGGTTTAGAACCAAATCCTCGTAGGCTACAGTGGGAGCAGTAGTAAAAACAGTGAGAATTTACCCTTGGCCATTCTGGGGCAATCTGTGTGAAATTGCAGACTAAATGACTTTCAGACCCACAGACCCAAGTCAAGCAGATATACCCACGTCATAGAAGATACAGGGGCTTAACATTCATGAAGTGGGAGGTTGCTGTTGTGTGGGGCTTGCAATGGAGGAGCTTTTCTGTGTGCAGAGACTCAGCAAAGAAAAAGTGAAAAGAACTGAAGGTTTTACTACAGCAAATTAAAATCTCTTTACTACTGAATTAGAGCATCTGTCTAGGAATTTAATACACTAACTTACGCACATTGGTTTCATGCTTTTTGTTGATTTGCTTTAACTAATGTGAGTGTTTCCATGGGGAGGGAATCTTAGACATAGGCTGCTCAGCTTGCTACTGCCCTTTACAGGAAGCCGAATTTGTTTTCTTTATCCAGACAGTAGGAAGGACAATGAGGCAAATAAAAATTCTTGTGATCAAAAGCCTAGCATATGTAGAAATTCTAATCTAAATCTGTACATCTATACATCTAAATGGAACAAAAATCTAGTGTAAATCTAATTCTGTTAGTCATTCCAGTATAAAATAGTAATTTTTTGTGATAGGGGAGCAATTCACATGTGTAAACATAGTGCACAGATAATGCCACAGGCTGCCTGAGACATTGGTACGGGACTGGTAGTTATGTCCCCTCACCTTGGAGACCCTGCCCAGTTCGCTGCTCTCACCTTAGACATAACTTGGATAAATCTTTTTGGCAGATGTAGAACCAAGAGAAATTTGGCCTGCAATATTCATTCATTAATATTATATAATAACAACTATTTGGTGACTGTTAAACAGCAACTGAGGTGGTTTGCAGCCTCTTATGCTGAAGTCCTACTGTTTCCAATGTCAATATCATCCAGTATCACAACACCTTTATAGCATTATATTTGGTTTCTACCCAGCTGGCTACTCAGACCCATGGCTGAGAACAACAGCTGTAATCAGACGATAAATACATACTGGCAAATGGACAAAATGTTGTTTTCAGATGTAGAAAGGGTTGCAATGATACTTTAGCACTGCAGGATACTGACCATTTAGTCTTCCTTAATCCCCACAGAGGTCACTGGCTCACCAGTTCGAGATTTGGTCCTTGCACAAATCAATGGAGAAACACATTTCTTTGTGCTGCCTCTTTCAGTAACCATCCTCTAGCTGCAGTGCTGCCCTCCAAAACTCCCTCTTAAAGCCTGACTTCAACAAGGCCACAAGTCCACACATTGGCAGCAGCACTGAAATCTAATGACAAATAGCTTTCAAACTCATTGAATCACTAAGAAGTAAGGTCTGGTAATGTATCCAACATCCTGGAGAGAATAATGACTGGCAGCTTCCCTAGAATTATAAATTATGATTTCTTCTGGTATATCACATATATCATAAAGGAGAAAAAGAGTATGGAGTCTTGATTTATCATTCAAAATTTCTCTTATTAACTCATGCTAAATTGTCACTGTGTGAAGGCCTCTCCTGTAAGAAGATGTAAAAAAATGCAAAACTACATACTTGGAAAGCAAATATCATTACACAGCACCTTAAAGAAGTAATATAATGTACTTGTTATGGCTTTGTGTGTATATATACATGTATTTGTGTGTATATATATACACACACCAAAATAAAATTGAAGTGGTCACTGGCCACTGGCTTTCAGAGCTATTCCATAATGATTTCACTTATGAAAAATGCAAGAATTGTATGTTAGCTGTTGCTGGACAAGAGATAAGGTAGTAAAGCAGATCACTAAAAGACTCACCTTGGCACTAATAATCCCTGGATCTGTATAGCCTCTCCCTGACCCAAAGTGCAAAAAATATTACAGTCCCACAGGATAGTATTCCTTCATATATACATAGGCAGAAGAAGGAGTCCAAGCACAACACCAAAACAAAACCCCACCAAACCAATCTCCCAAAAAAGCCCAAACCCTAAAGAAAAGGAACAGAAATGAATGGGAGATTGAAAAGTACAAGACAAATACAAAATCTCTTCAACCTACACCATCATAGGAAGCTGGGCTTGCAGGACAAGTCACAGCCCAACAAACAGCTACAGATGCTCTTTTCCTCCTCTTCTATCACAAGGCATATTTTACTGCTAGATATTACGTATGTTGTATTACACATAATGCAATGCCTATAGAAATAGTCTCATGTAAACTATAAGAGACAGAGCATCTTGGAGTAAACAGCTTAAATGATTTCCATGCTGTAGTTGCCTACATTTTATCAAATGAATCCCAGGACTACTCTGTTTGAGATCAAGCCTCTCATAGTCAATAACCCACATCTGCCAAGGAAATTCAACTCTGAATTAGTGCATTCTAGCAAGTCTGATGAGCTTTATTCTCTGTAGCTCAGTCCTGTATGCATTGATTGCTCATCCTCTGCTTGGGTGGTGTAAATGACCACAGAAGATGCTAAGCAAGAACACATCAGCCTCACTGGCTCTGAGGGATCATCCAGAACCCACAGAAAGGAAATAATACTCACTTTTCAGTGCATTGGAAAAAATAACCTTGTACAACTGAAACCTTTTATGAAATAATAGCAACCTTCCCCCTCCCCAGCTCAGTTGTACCATGTACATTAATGCAGACAGAAAATCAGATGCCATTGATTTTTCCAGACCTCTCAGATTCACTAGTGAAGAATCAGGATGACAAGTGGAGAGCATGGTAACTATACCTGCATCTTTTCAAATTCAAGACTCTTATTTTTAGACTCTAACCAACCTTTTCATCTTGCCTCTTTTCTTTTTTTTTTCTCTTTTCTCCCAGTGTTTCCTAAGCCTCATCTTTTTCATAGGCGGCATCCTGTGTCTAACCTTGACTAGAGACCGTCTATCTTTTGTCCTTGAAAATAAGCTTTAGGCACTTACATCCTCTCCACCTTACAGAAGATACAACTCCACATCTTAATCAGTTGCTTTGCTTTGCCCTTTTTTCCCCTATAGTTGTTTTATCATGTATGAAAGCTTTTTGCAGCTTTTCATAGTATGCACCACACTGTGAGTGAGCTTTGCGCACGTACTTCCCTCAGTAATAACAGAATAGACTTTCCTCTTTTCCCATGTGTGATCCAATCATGTCATTACAACAGTATTTACTGTAGCAATTAATAGTAGGCAAGTATTCCTTTTTCAATATCTAGAGACTAAATCAGTTTAATGGGCACATTTTTCCCATCTTAAAAATTATAATGTCGTTTTTATTTCTATCTGTTATACAACTCCAAAATTGCTTTTTGCTGAAAATCCTGGTGTGGTTGCTATTCAAGCATAGTCATGATTAGAGAAAATAAGGTCCTTGCAGGGCTCATGCCAACAAGGTATTTGATGGCCTTTCAGTTTACTTTTACGTGATTTAGAACAAGGAGTACCATGAGCGCTGTTAGCACCTGGGCCAACTCTCTTGAAACTGCAGCAGGTGCTCTACAGAGCATCAGACGTCCCATTTCCCCACTATAAAAATAGGCATGATCATTTTTATATTAATGCTAAAGCTGAAATAGCTAGGAATAGAAAGTTTATATGCAGTATGGGAGCATTGCTGCAAAAGAGAAATGTGGCTTGACAGATTTCATTTTCCTCCTACCCTTTCAGTTCTTGACCTTTCTATAGCAACTATCAACAGAGGCAGAAAATACAGAAAATAATACTGATTTGTGTGGTAGTTCTGATACTATCAGAGACTCGTGGCCAATTTTACAAAATCACCTAGACAGAGTAAACAATACAAACAATGAGAGAGATTCAGATGTCTGTTCTCTCTCCGTCAGTCAGCATGGATCCATCACAGCTAAACAAAGATTCAGATTTAGCTTGGAGAGTGGATTTCATTTATATGATATGAAAAATTTACTGTGATATTGATTATCCATCAGTTTCCAGGCAAGCAGAGATTAAATTAACAGATTTTGAAGCCAAAGAGGACCATTATATAATTTAACGTCATTTTTTACATCATACAGGCTGAGAAGTTTAATCCTATTACTCTCTCAAAAGAAAGACATACAGTCTTGATTTGAAAATGTCAAGACATTCATTACATCCCTCAGCAGTTTGATGCAATGGCTAATCACCCTGACATTAAAACATGTGCTCTACTTCAAATTCAGAGCTAATTCCCAGGCTTGGGTTCTGGTTATTCATTTTTCTGCTGAAACTCTTTAGTAGATGGTGCTCTCTCCCTGTTCCCCTCTTTTTTTGTGAAGTTACTTATCCACTATAATTGAGTCACCTTTTGAGTTTCTTTCCAGTACAGTTAAACAGCCTGAGCTCTTTAAATCTCACAGCAAAAAACATATCTTCCAACTCATGAAAAAACTGTGAGATTTTCCTCTACTTTCCCTATTTTTTCAGTAGATTGATGCGCCCTGTCTTTGGAATAAAATGGAATATTTTAACATTATGGCCAAGGAGGTAGGAAGGAGGCAGCACTCACCTCCTCTTGCTGGGTATAACTCCCATCTCCTCACTGTCTCCCTCCAGAGTGACCCTCCTTGCCTGCCACCATTCATCGTCCGAGGCGTTGATGACGTGAAGGATGTCTCCATACTTAAAACTGAGTCCTTGGCTTGGGAGGCCACTGTCTTTGCTCTTGTCATAGTCAAACATGGCTCTGTGAAAGGAAATAAAGATATGAATACAGGTGATTATATCAGTCTTGGGAGCATTTACTTATGAACAATTTGTCATATTTTACATTACAGCTAACCCTTGCTCCTTTCCAGAGGGAAAGGTCTTGCTTGGAGGAAAACTTTCCACTGTGAAGTTAATCTTTACAGAATCCTCTTTCTTTTAAGAGAAACCGAACAGTACGGTATGGTATTTACTGTTTCATTTAATAAAGAACAATCACCATATCAGAGTATCTAGTAAACAAACATGGTAGCAAGAAGCCCCTCTTGTCACCTTGCCAACAGCAATTTGTGGCTGTTGAGCTTGTCCTTTTCTCACACTTCCCTGTGCTCAGACCGGAGGGTGGCTGGCAGACAGGGGTGCATTGGGAGGACTAAATACAAGGGACCAAACCCATGCTGCATTTCTTTAGGTGAGTGGATGCACGATTCTTAGCATCTAGTTCAGACCAGAAGTGAGCTTTCAAAGGGAATCTCTTGATTATTCCCACTCACAGTGCTTTGGTTCATGTCCTGGAGCTGTGTTAGGTTGCACAGATTGGATTCCTGAAATTGGAAACTAAACCGAAAGATGCCTTGACCAGAGTAGCACCAGTCTGACGTACACGCCTCAAATGCACGCAGGGTGCACACAGCACCAGCGCTTTCACTGTCCACGTCCAGTCCCCCTGTGCTGCAGCACCTGCTCAAGCAGCCCTAGCTATTTCCTTTGTTGCTGAAGATGTTTTCCACCAGTTTGAAGTGGACCTCTACCTTGGGTATGCCTATACAAAAAAATCCCATATATAGGACATATATTAATATAGGACATTACATATATATATCATAGAATCATAGAATCATAGAATCGTCAAGGTTGGAAAAGACCCTTGAGATCATCGAGTCCAGCCATCAACCTATCACTGCCAAGTCCATCTATACCATGTCTTCAAGCACCGTATCTATCCGTTCTTTAAATACCTCCAGGGATGGAGACTCAACCACTTCCCTGGGCAGCCTGTTCCAATGCTTGACCACCCTCTCGGTGAAGAAGTTTTTCCTAATATCTAACCTAAACCTCCCCTGGTGCAGCTTGAGGCTGTTTCCTCTCGTCCTATCACTCGTTACTAGGGAGAAGAGACCGACCCCCACCTCGCTACAACCTCCTTTCAGGCAGATATAAGTCTAGGGACTTCATAAACACAAATTGAGAGCTAGCTTTAAGGTACCTGGCTATCAAACTGTGGCTGGGCATAGTTCAGCATGAATTTACTGCCTAAGTATTCACCCCAGATCCTGGGAAAGAACATCAGCCTGCCCTGAGCTCTGTATGACCAAGCCACAGTGATACCAAGTCTCAGCCTTGTCTAGTCCTATGCCTGGCGCCTACACCAGCAGTCTTCAGGGCAGACATACTCCAGTTTCTCAGGGGAAGACCCTGCACGTGAATCCCAGCAAGGCTGTACATAAGTGCAGGTCGCTCATTGGAGTTACCTAGCTAAAAATCTTGGTTTCTTACAGGAAAAAATACATGGACATATTGTTTCCCATGGAAAATATTGTTTAAAGATCATGCCTGTCAAGAACTGGTGTTTATTTCCTGTAGGGAAAGGGAAAATAATATGATTATATTCCTGACTACAGAAATGTTAGATCAGTAAAATCCCAAAAGGTGTATAATAATTCCTACTCTTTTATTGCCAGAAATAAAGCCGTGGAAATCTCTTCACTGGTAAACACTTCTGTGAGAAGGGTTTGATATAATTAATTGTTGTGCATTGTAGTGTAATTGCAGAGAATGATTATAGCAGCTTTATGGGTAGATTTAAAACACTCAAGGCTACCTCTCATAATGAGGAGATGTTAAAAAAAAAAGTTATCAGAGTTGTAACTATGCAACCAAAATAATTTAAAAGCTCTCATAAGCACTTATTCTGCATGAAAGGTCTGGTTCAGGAGGAGCAAAAATGCTATTTGGAATATGTCTTCTCTTAAAGAGTTTACGGTCACGTACTAACATCTTCAGAAAAGCCCAGATAATTCCCTTCTCTGAGGATGAAGACAATAAACAAACCTGCTGAAATTTTACATAATCCATGAGCTTAGATATGCTTGTGCCTTTCTTGGTAAATGTTCTTGGATTGCATGTAACCTTTGAAAAATTTTAATGGCTTAGTAGTGGAAATCCTTTAAAAACTTGGCTATATCTTAGTAAAAATTTACATTCATAAAGGATCCTTATTAGTAGCAGGTCATCTGCTGCCTTCTCAAAAAAGGCTTTCTGTGAGGACATATGATGAAGCAGCATATAAATCCAGAAGCAGCTACGTATCATCAGTCACCTCTTCTTAACGAATTAGTGACACCTGATCTCTGGAGAAATGGCAGTGCACACACAAACAGGCATACAACCTATCAGCCTGCTGTATTGCCCTTATCAGCATGTAGTGGGCTGAGTTTTATTACTGTATTGAACATTTGTTGTCTTAAAAATTCACCGAATATTTGAGTATCTTGCCATGGAAGCCTATCAACATCTCAAAACCCTGACCACACAGTTGGCAACTGCACTGAATACTGGGCAGATGTGATATGATCCTGAATCCACACGTAATTAAATTACTCAAAACCAATGACAATATCTGCTGTTGCAGAGAATATGCAAGACTGTCACATCCCAGATGTAAAACACATGCCAGACTGGAAATGCTCCATATTTGGCAAGTTCTAAGATGAAAGGTGTGTTTCAAAAGCAAAGCAGTAGAAAGAAAGTAGGGCAATGTTCTTTGTCCTTGAACAGACATTTGTACCTCAGAGCCCACGTATTAACTTAAACTCACTGACTGCCATCGTGCTAGCTGATGTTAACGATGAATGCAGACGGCAATGTTTGCCACTGACTTTCTTTGATTGCAGTAATCATGTGCAATGCTAATTAAAATGAGATGATAGATCTCAGACAAGAGATTTTTTGAGCACACTTTTCATTGAGTGAAAGATTTTGTGGCTCTACAGATGTTGATTACTCCATTAGTAAATGAAAATGATATGAGAGCTAACTTCAGTGTTTTTTCCTAAACATTTCAAATTAAGAGCCAGGTTTAAGTTGATAACACAATCAATGGTATTTAAGCTGACAACTTTGATAACATTGCTGGCTCTGTAAAACATACTTTTGCAAGTTGGCAGTTGGCCCAGCTATAAAACAAATGGAGATCTTCACTCTAGGCACCATTGTATGCATGTAGAAGTTAACATGACTACCTTGGGCAATAGAGGGACCTAGGCACACTCGTCCTTACCTCCTCCTTTCAGTTCTGAGACTGTAAGTACAATTTGGATCTCTACATGTCCAATTGCAAGCTCTGGTTTTACTTATTTAAGAAGCTGACACGTCATTTTGAATTTTCTACCTGATGAACAGCACCCACTTCTGTTTGTGCTCCGTCTTGCAGATGTATATAAAAATTACACATCTGCATCTGTTGAGTGTCAGCTGAAGTGATACAAAATGAATGCAGCCAGACCTCTCATTTGGTAAAGGAACTGGGCAGGGCAGACAGAAAAAGCTGCATTTTTTTGCTTTGCTCTTTCATGGCTTTGGACAATGACAGCCCAGTTTTACAGGATACCACACTACATCCTGCAAGCACTGAAACTTTCACCAGAGAGTCAAGTGCAGCTCTCAGCAAAGTCTATTTGATCTATGCAAGCTTCTTTACCTGTATAAGATACTAAGGTCTGTTAGATACATTAGATAGGTTGTGCCATGCCATGGAGAATATCAGAGGAAAAGCTAAAATGTAAAGGAGCATCTTTGCAGAATATTATGTGTTGAGCAGAGGACATAGGCAACTCCATCCAGCAAGAGACCCACCCTCACACGGAGCACCCATCACCCCTCTCTGCGAGATGAGCACCATATTTTCCTTTCAGTTAGAGAAGGACCAGCACGATCAGGACCTGACTGCCATAACTCCCCCAGACAAGTACTCTTCCAAAATGAAGTGTTATTCAAACCAGCCAGAGGATTTCACCCATGAAGACATGTCACGGTGCCTCTCTCTGTGACGAGTTAGAGGCATCTCCACACAATACAGGCACACATAGTGCAGATACTGCAGAGCCTGCTCAGCAGAGGTGAAGAGCTTGCTGAACTTGCTAACATGACTATGTTTTCCTAGGGCCGAGACTGCTTATTCATGGGTTGCTTGGGCAGTTCTTCAAGGCACTGAGCCATAACTCATTTTTAGTGTCTTTTACTGCAATTTTAAAGAATAATAATCTCAGTAACCTTACAGTTTTCTAATGGCACTTATCTGACAGGCTTGGATACTAACAGCTTCTCCTTTTTTTCTCCACAACTGATAAAAGAGCACCCTAAAGAGCAGTACTTCTTCTTTCAGGTGTTTTATATCTTCAGTTAGCTGCTTGCATCCACTGTTCAGCCCTTTTTGGATCATACAGGACAGAACTAAGAGCTCTGCAAGGCTTTCTCTATGGCAGTAAGGGCTCTTTTTCCAGTCAGCTGATTAAGTCTACTTTTGAACTGGGGTAGTCAATTTTTAATAACAAAGGAAATCAGTTTAAATTATTTAACTTTCATTTTAGAGCTGTCACCAATGTTGTGATCACACCAGCATCGGAAAAATTCCTGTTCAGTATCTTCTAGACAGTGCATTTCACAAACAGGACCCTGGGTTACACAGGACAGATAACACATTTTGAGGTTACAAATATAGTAAGCCCAGTGATGACTGTGAGATGTGGATAAAACACTGAAATAGGGAACAGAGCTTGCTACAAACTGATTAAACAGATGTGGTGAATTCATGATTTGGCCATCTTAGTTCCTGTATTAGAAAAATAGCAATAGGAATGGTTGTGATTATCAAAAGCCTAAAGTATATGCACCAAATTTCCATTAACACCTTTAAATCTTTTTCCTCAATTCCCAGTTTTTGCATGAGTTTGAGAAAAATGTTTAATATCTGTACAACAT